AATCGCAGTAGTTCAGAGAAGAGGCCTTACCATCGTCATACCAATAGCCAAATAGAACAACTCGAATTGTAAGTACCTATTTTATAAAAGTAACGATGAATGTATTTTAAAATCAATTTTTACTCGGATCGACATGATTTGGTAATTTTTTAATTTTACGTACGATTTTAGGTTATATTGATAAATTTGATCGTAATTCATAGATTTTTTTTACTAGTTTTTTTTTTAGATAATTCGATCTTAATTTATGTTGATGTTATCAATCGATTTCTACCTTATATACGTACATATCTCATTCAGTTTATAATGAAAAATTCTCATTTATGAATTTTTAATTAAATCAGTTAGGTACGATCATAATTTTATAATGATTATGTTAATTGCAACTCATGGGTTTCCTTTTATTAGTTTTTTTCGGTACTTTGATCTTAATTTATGTCGAATGATGGATCATTGTGATTGATTTTTTTTGTAATTCATATACATACATATGTCATTCAGTCTATAATGGGAAATTCTAACTCATCTAACTTGTTGGGTCTTTGAAGATTTTACAAGGATTGTCCTCACCCTGATGAAAACCAAAGACGTCAACTCAGTAGGGAACTTGGACTAGAACTTAAACAAGTCAAGTTCTGGTTTCAAAACAAGAGGACTCAAACAAGGGTTGTTTTTTCTTTCTTAAAAAAAAAAAGTTTAAGTTGTTCAAATTAGGGTTCCCATTAATTAATTAATCTTCTTTCATTTTCTAAACTATATATATATATATGTTGTGTGTGTATATATATTCAGGCTCAAAGTGAGCGAGCAGACAACTCGGCTCTCCGGGAAGAAAATGAGCGAATTCAATGCGAGAATCTGGCAATTAGAGATGCACTAAAGAACGTAATTTGTCCTGCTTGTGGAGGTCCTTATTTTGAAGACGAAGAACGTCAACTCAAATTACAAAAACTTCAGATGGAAAATGCCCAATTGAAAGAAGAGGTAGTGATCATATCCATGTCTTAATTAACATACCAATATATATATGTTATATATATTTTTGTAGCACCTTCAAATGTATAAAGGCCTACCCACTGGACAATATTAAAAGACATTACATTAATCCATAGAGTTTATATGAACATAAATATATGTGGATACATGATAATTAGTGGAATTA